GTGGTCACCCCACTGCACATTCCCCATATGTCTTTGCCCAACCTGAGAAGTAAGGAAGATGTCCAGAGACTGCACATGTCCCTTGGATGTGCTGAACATAGAATCTACACCCCTGGAGGAGCAGTGGGGAAATTTTTAAGCATTTCTTTTTTGAGTTGTTTGGGTATTATCATGACTCCTACAGAATTCCTAAAGTCCTGAGGCATTTTCCTTTCTTGGTGCCCCACGCATCACAGCAGAGGTTAGTGTTCTTTAAGTTAGACTAGAAAAGCCAGGAAGGACATTTTAGGGGTCTGCAACTTAGAACTGGACACAGACTAAGGATCAAATAATAAGAGAAAAACATTCCCTCCACGTGTGGGTCTTTATTGCAAAGTTTTATTGCAAGGTTTTTTAACATTAGAATTATTAAAAATTATAAAGATGGGGATTCATAGTGAAAAATATTGATTTTTATTCCACTACCCAATGATGATGCCATTTTCATCACTGCAATTAGAACTGCTTAGAAAGATTGGTGCATATTATTGAACTGTTACCAAATAAAAGAAATTCATTAACATGAATGCCCTTGAGATGCCAAGAATGACAATTTAAATGAAAAGTATACATCAAATTTACCACGTTCAGTAGCATTTAAAAGTTTGCCTCCCTTCCTACTAAATTAGTATCTACAATGGATCTTTTGATCTTTCTTACTTCTGTCTAGCCCAACCTCTTCATTTACAAACAAGGAAACTCAGACCCCCAGAGTTTAGGTGACTTGTCCAAGGTCACAAACTATTCAGCAGCAGAATCAGGATTCCAACCCACAGCCTCTGGCTTTAAGTCCAGTATCCTTTCCACTGAACCATGCTGAAGAATTATCATATGTATGTATCAATTCATATTGATAAATGAGATGAAGTGGTTTGGTCTAAAGTCAAACTACTAGCAAATGGCTGAGAGAGAGGTGGGAATCTAATTCTTATGCCAGTTTTCTTTCCACTATACAATTTCTAATGATAAGAAAGGATAAATGAAGGAGTGAATGAATGAACGAAAAATATTTCTTAAGCACTTACTATGTTCCAAGCATTGTGCTGGGAATACAAATACAGTATATTCATTTTATGTATTATATTGACTTTAGCAAAATGTCATTATAAGCAACATGAATATCCCTCATGTTGCTGGTTATAGCAGGTTTTTAAGATCAATGCAAACATTCATTTACTTAATCATCAACATCATCACTACCACCACCATCATCATCTTCGTTGTTAACATCATCACCATTACCATCATCATTGTCATGATCACATCACCATCATCATCATCATCATCATCATCACCACCATTGTTACCAGATTAACCTTCCAATCAGACTTAAGGTATGCTGTGTTATATTCCGTACCATGCCAAATTTTGTTAAACTCGGTCATTTCTTTTACTTGGGGAATAAACAGATCAGAAAAAAATGAGAAAGGTGAGGGGAAGGAAATATAAAACCAACTGTTACCTGTTTCTCATGGAGTTTCCATAAGACAAGGAGACAACCAGATACCCTCATCCCTCAACACAAGAAGATTTTGAAGTGTCCTGCTCTGCTTGCCTCCTCAAAGAAAAAAACACAATGGTAGTAGCTGGGGGAGAAGCCTTTTTGTAGGCCTGGTTCGATGCCAGATGGTCATATATGAAGAAGGTTTAAAGTGAAAGTTGTGGGACAAGGAAAAGTGAATAAAAAAACTGAAAAAAGATGCAGCCAATGAATCGATATCATGGAGTAACAGAAAGTGACCTGAAAATTTCACTAAAAAGAAAGTGACAAAAAATTCTACAAGAACCCTGAGCAATAAGGAAATTATATAAAGAAACTCCAAGTGATTCAAAGGAACAGGAAAATTAAAAGAAGAAATATTACGGAAATTAAATTGGGAATCAATGGCATTAGACAGTTTAGAAAACATAATGGAGAAACTCTTTAAAACTGCACATTCTCTGGAAAAAAGTAAATTTGGACCTCACAAATAAAAACATGAAGGAAAAGCAGCAGGACAGCAACATAAAACATTATATACTACCCAAAGTGACTGATCTTGAAGACAAAATTCAGAGAGGTAATTTTGAAAAGTATGGGTTTCTTAGAAAGAAAAAAAACCACACAATGAATTGAAAAGCCTAATTAACAAACTGCAACAATTAATAACCGAAACTTACCCAGAAGCATTAAAAAAAAAAAAACAGTAAGTTGGTTTAAATAATGTGCAGATCACTAATAGAAGGAACGTAGTTTTAAAATTCATTTCATATCATGGAAAAACGGATTTGACTAATTCTGGACTACTTATTTATGAGAAGTTAAAGAAGCCATTAGACTATTATTATGTTGTAAAAAGCAAAGAAAATATGAACCCTCTGAATAATATAAATTGCACAATTAAACTTAAACAGCAATGCAAAATGCCATTAGAAACCAGAAGCAGGCACTTTGAATGAGAGAGACATAAAAAAAGTAAGTAAGTTTGGAGCATGATGGCCCCCACCTATAATTCCTACTGCTAAGGAGGCTGAAGCTGGTGGACTGCCTAAGCTTGGGAGTTCTGGTGCAGTGGGAATAAGGTAACCAGGTGTTCCCACTAAGTCTTGCACCAATACAATGGGCCCCCATCAGTGGTGAACCACCGGACTATCTAAGGAAAGGTCACAAATGGAATAGCTGGGCCAGGCCAGTAAGGGGTTGTTGCTATACTTCTAGAATGGGAAAAAAAGGTAGGGGGGAGATCCAGGCTCAAAAACAAACAAAAAACTTTGGGAGGAAAATGAAGTAAATAGAGTTAATAAGAAAAGACTAATGTGTAAAATAAACTCTTGTGATTCTGAAGTTGGACAAGGCTTTATTTATTTTTTTAAATCACATATTGGCCAAAAAAGGGGCAAAGGGAAAACAAAGAGATCTACTGCAATGGGGGAATCAAGGCTAGATTTGGAGTCAGAGGACCTGGGTTTGAAAATTGGCTACTGTTGACCTGTGTGACCTTGGCCATGTGCTTAACCCCTTTAGCCTCAAATTTCAAACGTATAAAACAAAAATGTTAGATTAGATGATCTCTACAGTTCTATCCTGCTCTAAATCTAGAATTCTAGCATCTAGAGGCCAAAGAAACTGAGGAAAGAAAGAGTAAAAGAAGTTTAAAGAGTTGAGTAGGAGGAAGGGAAAATAACTGAATTAATATTGTACAGCCTAAAACATATTCTCCATAAATGAAGCATCTGGGAGGAAGTGGGGTCAGTTAGGGAGAGTGGAGGCAAGGGACAAGAGGATGGCAGACTTAGGCTCCAGCTTGCCTTCACTTAAGCTGAGAGGAGGGAGGAGTGGACTCTTCCAACTCTCATCTACCTGGGGAGCTGTGAGAGCACAGGGCAAGTGCAGCTGATGGAAGGGATGTGGGAGAAGAGGGAATGTGTCTTTTCCTAGGAAGAGTTCTGATGACTAGATGCTGGAATAGGACCATACAAAGCAGGAGGTGGGCAAAGTAACAAGGGCTTCCTACCAGATTTTGTCTGGGGGAAGCAGATACAGGAGACTTCTTTTCTGAGAAATGTCTGTGTTTATAAGAACCACAAACCATTGCAGAAGAACACCCCTGGGGGCACCTAACATCTAGGGTAGGTCCGAGACAGAGGTAAGTGGTGAATATAACATAGGTTTTGTCTGCAGTAGGACCATGACTCATGGATACAGGAGGAAGAGTGACTTCTACCACATGGCACTGCCTCTTTCTTGAATCAATATTTCTGAGAATTTGGCTCATCAGAACGCCACTCCAAAAAAAAAAAGCCCTCTAACCTTATATAACTTTTCTAGAGCTAATAGATGAACAGGTTAGAGGAGAGAGCAAGGCCTTTTCATCCAGAATCCCTATGTGGAGTTCAGAAAAGACTGGAATGAGAAGGAAACAAGGAAAGATATGAAGTCAATTAACACTTCTCACAAAAGGTACCACAAATGAATGTTACTCAGAGTGAGAAGAATGAATGGGATGAAAGCACAAAGGAGGATTCTAAACTCTACTCTCATCTGGACTAGGAGAAGGGAAAAAAAAGAGAAAAATAACTTAAGTAAAGTCAAGGACCTTGGGATAAGACATGAAAATGAGAGGAGGATAGAAAAAGCCTACGGAAGAAAACTGGGCTAAGAGAATAAGCAGGATTAGACATATGTACTAAAACCTTACTTAAAAGAAAAGGGAAATCAATGGAAGAGAATGAAATCGAGGAAAACAAAAGTGTAACCTTTACCATCCTAAATGTAAACTAATTATACCCCTACCCAAATAAAATGGAACAGAATGTTAGAATAACTAAGGTAAAACCCAACAATCTGCAGCACAAAAGAAACATTTAAAAACTAAATCTTTTTCTTTCTCTCTCTCTCTCTCTCTCTCTTCTCTCTCTCTCTCTCTCTCTCTCTCTCACACACACACACACACACACACACACACACACACACACACACACACATGCACACACACACCAAATGCCATAGTATCTAAAGTCATAAGGAAAAAAAGTTAGTAAAATTTCAATAAGGCATAGATAACAACACAATAATTGTAGGAAAGTTTAATGTTCCTCTCTCAGAGATAGATTAGTTTAATGTTCCTCTCTCAGAGATAGAAAAATCTAACTCAAAAGATAAACCAGAAGAAAACCACAAAGCTGAATAGTCTGTTTGAAAAATTGTATTTAAAGGACTCAAGAAATAATCTGAGATTTTCAAAATATCCATTTTCTCAGTATCATAAAAACTTATTTTTTGTTAAGATACAAAGAAATCGTGAATAAATATAAGCAATATTAAGCATATCCTTTATGGATTACAATATTACAAAATAATTTAGCATGCTAAAGATGTATGCTTAAAAGAATACTAATGACATTTTAAACAATGAGTGGTTCAAAGAATGAATCATAGAAACAATAGCTATGAAAAAGAGAAAAACAATGAGACAACATACCAAAATTTTTTGGATGCATCTAAAGCAGTCCTCAGAGGAAAAATTATATCTCTGAAAACATAAAATAGTGATAAAAAAAAAGAGAAGGGATTAATGAACTGATTATGCAACTTAAAAAAAAAACCTAGAAAATCAACAAATTAACAAATCCAAAACAAAAAATAAGAAATTAACATTGAAAAGCAAAATAAAAAGCTATTGTAGGATGTCCCATCTTTGATTTAAGCTACTAAAGCTTAAAACTGCACAATTCTTTTGCAAATCTCTACAAATTACAAAGAAAAATGAGCACTCATTTAAAATATAATTAATAAATCTTTACAATACTCATCAAAAAGAAAGGAAAATAAAATTAGGAAAATGAAAAAATCAACAAAGTGAAGAGAAGAAATAGAAAGTGATCAGAAACTGCTATGTACAATGATTTATTTCAGGTGAGAAATGAAAAGAAATGGATAATTACCTACAAAAATACAAAATACCCAAATTAAAACAATAAATGGAGTTCTTAAAATATCTAATCTCAGAAATTGAACATTGAGCAAACCATGAAGGAACTACCAAAGGAGGTTGGGGGGGGAAAGGGGGGGAGACTGCAGGGGAGAAAGTCTACATGAATTCAAAAGTGAAATTACATAAAACATTTAAAAAGCAAAGTAAACATACCTTTGTTATAAAATCTATTGTCAATAACTGAGAAGACTCTCTACTACACTCTCTCTATGAGGCAATTACAGATCTGATACTTAAAATTCAGTGAGATAAGACAAAGAAATATAACTACAGACAAATCTCAGTAATGAATATTGATGCAAAAAATTTTTAAATAAAATTTTAGCAAAGAGGCCAAGACAATAAATCCAAGAAAAATTACTACAACTAAGTTGGAATTATACCAAGTACTCAAGTGTGATTTAATATCAAGAAACAATTAGAATAATTAATCAAACCACAAAAAAGTAAAAAGACATGATTTTATCAATAAACAAAAAAATTGATAAAAATAGTATTTATAATCATAAAAATCCCTAAAGATAGCAAAGACATGACTAAAATAAAAAAACTAGGATTATTTTCAAAGGATAATGCTAAGTATGTACAATAAGACAGGAAAGAAAAATTATAGATATAAACACAAGCAAAGAATAGCTTAAAACAGTTTTCATTTAAAGACAACAAAATCTTACAGAATTAGCAAGCTGAATAATCAAGAAGATTTATAATGTCAGTTCAGTTTGAATACGCAATAAAGTCAACCAAATCACCAGCGTTTCCATAAAACAGTGACAAAACCATGCAAGAGAAAACAATAGAGAATTTTCATTAAGGATAACTATAGAACACACACACACACACACACACACACACACACACACATACACATACTCCTACTAATTAACTTAGCCAGACAATTGGGACTTAAATATTTACAATAATGATCTACTCTTTACAGAAATAAAGGAAGACAAGAAATTGGAGGGATGGTCATTGCTCATGGCTGGGCAGTGTCAATATAACAAAAATAAGGATGTCACATAAATGATGATATAGTGATTAGAGGTAGACAAAATAATAAAAAATTATTAGGAGAAACAAAAGGTCTAGACTGTCAAGGAAATTTTTTAAGAGTAGGAATGAAAAAGGAACAGCACTTCCACACCTTAAACCATATTATAAAATAATCATCATCATAACTCTTTGATACTGGTTTAAAAAGTTGAGAAATATATCAATATAATAGACTAGATGACTAAGAATCAGAAATAACTACATGTTGTCACCCAGAACATAAACTATTTGGGAAGGGGCTCCCCATTTGACAGGAACTTAAAGCAGATTGATAAAAATTAGGACATTATATTATAACCTACAGATAGGTATGAAGTTTAAATATAAAAATTACAACATGAAAAAATCAGCGGCGAATGGAAGGAGACAGCTTTCAGAACTGTGACTAGGAAAATAAATATCAATCAAGCAAGGGATAAAGGTAACCACAAAAGAGAAAGGAGAAAATGTAATTAAATAAAAGCAAAGCTTTTTCTGTCCATGAAATCACTGGTGCTAGAACATAAGAGAAAGCACTAAGTGCAAACAAAAATGTATCAAATGTCTCTCACTGACGTCTAACATCTAACAAAAAGATTTCATCCGTATATGTATCTGTGTGTGTGACCAAGCAACAAATGGTCAAGGGCTAGAAACAAACACTTTTCAAAAGGAAAACTTGCAAGTTATCAACAACCATTTAAAGACCACAGCAATCATTACTTAGCTACAATAATAATAATAATGATCAGGTCATTAATAATAATAAAATGGTAATTTTTGAATTCTGAAAAGCTAGACCCCTCAAAGTATCAAAGATGACAAAAGACAGAGATCATCACTGTTAGCTGGGCTGTGGACTCTTGGAGACGGAGCTGTAAACTGGTGGCCCAGATTTTCTGGAAAACAATTCTGAACCTGTGAAAAAACTTACTTAATTGTTCCTGTCTTTGACTCAGTTATATCGTGCAATCAGGTATATACTCCAAGGTCAAGAATGAGCCGCAAGAAAAAGCCTCAGTCATACCAAGGTATTTATAGCAGCATTTTTATGTAAGCAAAAAGGAAACGATATAGATATAGATATAGATATAGATATAGATATAGATATAGATATAGATATAGATATAGATATAGATATAGATATAGATATAGATATAGATATAGATATGGATATGGATATGGATATGGATATAGATATAGATATAGATGTAGATATATACACATATATGAAATGGTACATAGGAAAGCAAGCAAAGACAGAATATGATCCACACTGATTACAATAATTTAAATTTAAACAACAGGCCTGAATGACTTTCAGAACTCCTCTGGAAGCTTTAAAGGTAGCACAGCCAACAACATACTTCTTCCACTGAGAACTGCTCATCTTTGCAAAGTATCATTTCTAGCTATGATAGTTATTAAAACCAAGTACTGAAATAAACTGAACTTAGGAACAGACCTGAGAATTGCTGTATTGTAGCATTAAATCAAGATTTTCAAAAATAATGAAGCACGTTACATCACGTCGCTTTTCCTAAAAACAAAACTTTAATAATATTTGAGTGAGACGAAAAGAGTTTTGCACTTTTAATAAATAAAATGAAAATTATTTAGTATTATTTTCATCATTATTTCAATCTTTTTAATTTCTATTTTTATGTGTGGTTTATAACATATATATATAATAGTACATGTATACAGTAATTTAATCATACATGACATCAGTATATGCATTTAGTTTATGAACATACATATTTATATATTTAATACATAATATATATTCCATAATGCATTGCCTCCGGTACTATCTGTGTGCATTCTCAGTTCTCTTTACTGACAGGGTGCAGGATCAAACCATCTTGGAGACCACAGCACGAGAAGATTACTTCATGAGCGGATATGGCCAAAAGGCTCCAGCGCTTGGTGCCCGACCCTCTGCTGATACACCTCTTTGCTCTTAGCCAACTGATCCCCAGACAAGATGCTTGGTTCATCCCAGGCTCCTGCTTGAAGCCCTTCCCTCTTGGGAGGGCCCTCCAGTACTTATACTCCCCTGGCTCAAACTGGAGAGCTGAGGGCCCCCTCCATGTCATGAGGAGGCACCGAAGAGCCCTGGCGTAGATTTTTACAGCATTTCTTTAACTATGGGCCACAACTCCATATGGAGTCACAGAAAGTTTGGCAACAGTAAAAGGTTTCTGAACGCTCAATGAACAAAAATTAATTCAAAATCAAATGCGTAATGACTCCGAAGTGTTTCTGGCAGTGCCTATGTGTTGTATCGTGCAACTCCACTGAAGCCTTGGTTCTGAACACAAGCCATGTGCACTTTGCACTATGCATGCCCTCAGGCCACGCAGTACCAACACTACTGAAACAAGAAAAGGGGTCGCGAGTGGGAAGAGCTTGAGAAGCCCTGGTGCAGAAGGCAGCCTGATGTACTTCTCTTTGACCAGGATGCTGTTCAAATTAGCATTAATTAATTATTAGCCAGATTGAAATTTGAGAGCAGGCAGCATATGCTCTTGTGAGATAAAATACGTCAATTTTTCTTACAATGTATTGGTTTGGCCCCACAATAGTTGACGTAATTCAAAATGGGTCTCCTGTTTGGTAGTGAAAATTCATGGAGTTCTACTGAACCTACTAATTTCTCTGTCCCTTGGTTACGATTCATCCCTGAATTCTATAATCGTATTATTTACATTAATGCTATAAACTGTTATGGGAGAACATTTCACTGTACTTTTCTCTCAAATAAAGCAATTACACTTGTAAGAACAAAAAGGGCATAAAATTTTGCACCTGTAATTTTTAGACCAACAATGGTGAAGATATAATTTTTTTAAAAATAGTAATTGGTTCTTGGTAAGCAGGGAATGCACATTACCAATTAACTACATACTGTTCTTGATTGAAATTCAATCAATCATATGTTTCTTTAAATTCTGTTAAAATTCAAGCTTTAATAATACTGCTTTTTCAACCCTTTTGCTAATATTCAATGATGCATGAAATGGAATATTATGAGAGTACAAGTCAAAGATTCCACATTATCAGTACATTTAAAATTCAGCACAGAGGGAAGTAATGTTCTAACTCCATCTAGGCTTCATGGTAAATGGTACTCTTTAGTGAAATGACACTCATGTATAAATCAGTTTCAGTGCCGCTGACCACCTGAACCAGATACCATCTGATGAGTAAGTTACCCCTTTAAAAGGTCATGAAGAGGAAAGGGACATGTGGTGGATGGCCCACAGGCAGGCTGGTACCCTGTCAGCTCAGGTTCAGTGTTGGAATGAAATGAGGCATCACTGACTCACTTAACAATTTAAAAAGGAGGTTCACTTAGCCATGGCAGAAAGAAATTATTCTGTAAAGATACTCCAGCACTTAGCTTGGGTAGACATGGTCCTCCTGGCCTCCATACAGAAAATCTAGTCAGCAGTGCAGGATACGGCCATTCGACAGCCTTAGAATATCAGCTGTCTAGATCTGGATCCCACATCAGTGGCCCTTTTTATGCCCTTAAGTGACCAGGAAGCCACATCAATATGGACAGAGCTGTCAGGAAGTCACATCAAGAGAGGTACTGGGCCAATCAAATGTCAGGGACAATTTTGTTGCCTTTCAGAGAAAAATCAGCCTAACTTATACGGGGAAGGAAGGAAGGAAGGAAGGAAGGAAGGAAGGAAGGAAGGAAGGAAGGAAGGAAGGAAGGAAGGAAGGAAGGAAGGAAGGAAGGATGGATGGATGAGAGGAAAATTATGAAGAGAAAGGGAGGGAGGGAGGAAGGAGTGGAAAAGAGGGGAGGGGGAAGAAAGGAAGGAAAGAAAAGAGGGAGGGATGGGACAGAGTGAGAGAGAGAGGGAAGGAAGAGAGGAGAGGAGGGATGGGATGGAAAGAATGGATAGAGGGAGGGAGGGATGGTAGAAGAGGGAGGGAAGGAGAAAGACAGAAAAGGAGGAGAGGATGGAGGAAAAAAGCACTTATTAAGTGCTGACTCAGGGACGTGAATACAGTAAAAAAGACAGCCAATTCCTGTCTTTGGGTGTGACAAAGAGAAGGCGCCTGGCTGCGGGCCCTGGTTAGGACACTGCTCTCACTGAAGGATCCGCACGATAGATCCACGGACACTGTAGAGGGTAGTGTGTAAGGGAAGATAGGAATAACGCCCACACACACATACCAACCACACCCTTGAAGAAGGTCTGAAGGAGCCCCAGACCACTTTTCTAAACAATATCCTGGCACAAACTGCATCTAAACTGTTGGTCAACGAGCGTTCATTAAAGAGCTTGGCACGAGCTGGGCCGTGGGCCCAGGGTAGGCAGGTACACAGGAGATGAAGACAGCGCAGAAAACGCAAGATTTTGCTGAGCCCACCTTTGGGCGACAGCTCGCCAGTGCTTTGTGGATTTTGTGGATAGACCAGTGGACTTGGAGTCGACAAGACCCGAGTCTGCTTCCTCCCTCAGAAATGTCCTAGCTGTACGACTCTGGACCAATCAATTAACCTCTGTCTGCCTCAGTTTCCTCATCTGTAAAATGGGGGCGATAGCAGCACCCACCTCACAGGGCTGTTTTGAGGATCAAATCAGATACTACATGAGGAGCGCTTTTCCAAACCTTAAAGAGTTACATAAACCAAAGAGTTTATTGTTGCTGTCTTACTTGATGGTGCAGAATGTTGCCTTGTCGACTCTCATTCAACAAGGCATATCTGTCCAAATTGGACAAGAGTTCTTAGAAGATTCAACAACACAGATAACTGTGAGTCAACACTATGATCGCTAACGTTCCGAGAGGGATAAAAGGGGGAGATGACAAAGCCTTGTTGACTGACTGATTGACACAACGCTTGCAAAGTGTCTGGTGCCGTCACTGCAGACGTCCTGCAAGCAGACTGAATCTAGGGGTTAGTTCCCTCCGGGTGGGGAGGGTCTTTAGATGCTGCTAGTCGGAACACCACTGTGCTCCTTGCTTCACACCCTGGAACACTGCAAAGCCTTCTAGAGAAGGCCCATAATCTTTTAAAAGAGTTACCAAGCGGGCAAACGACTCCTATTATACAGAGTCTGATCTACAGCTGACCTTGGACAGACAATGTGGACAACAAGCTGGGCCAACACTGGAGGAGGAGGAGGGGTCTGGGTGAGATCGCGTCTGGGAAATTCAGTGACGCTGAGCTTCCCCCTGAAACAATTGTTTACAAGCTCACTGTTCTGGTGATGCTGTCATGACTGGCTAATCAAATCATGGCCCACCACAATCTCCGAAGAGTTAAAATGTGGGGCAGTGGAGAGGTGCTCAGCGGGTAGAAGAAGAGTAAAGACTAAGTAAGCATTTGCAAGGGAGAAACAACATAAAAGACATTCTCTAACAGTGATATCTGGATCATGCCTTAAAGTTTGCAAAGCACTTTATACACATTATCTCACTGGACCCTAATGACAGCTCTCTGAAGTACTATTCCAGTTTAACTGATGGGGAAACTGATTCTCTGAGATGTTAAAATTCCTTGGTCATGGTCACACAGCTAAAAAGCATCAGAAATGGCATCCGAATCCAGGTCTTCCAGTCTCCAAGTCTGGCATGCAATCCACTACTCCACACTACCTGTCATAATATCATACTCTCAGAAGTATGAGCCAGAAAAGATGCCGGCCCAGCTACATAGCTAGAGTCAAGGATTATCACTGGACAGCAATGTGTTCCATTGATAACTGGACAAGAATATCTGTCAAGGTCAAGAAGGCTATCTGATGTAGAAGAAAGCTGCACGAAGCTTGGAACCTCAGGACCCAAGTTCAAATCCTGGCCCTGCCGGTTACTATTTATTCATTCACCAAATCCTCTCTAGGTCTCAGTTTCCTTATCTGTAAAACAAGAAGACTGTTGGCCTCTGAGGTCATTTCTAGCTCTAAACCTATGATCCTATGATCTGAGTGACCTACTAAGAGAAAAGTCCATCTTTGAAACCTACTACATTTACCTGCCGGTCTGTCAGGAAGGCAGTTCCATCATTAAACTTATTTTTTAGAGTTGTTTCAATTCATTTTTTTTGTAGCAAGAATCTGACGGTCTCAGAGTCCACAAATATATGTACCATTGAATAATAATGAATTCTGCTGCAAATATGTTGACTAGTAATATCTTTCCAGAAGTTATCACAAGATAAATTGCAAAACTGATTTAGAAATGGCAACTGGCATATTACGGCACATCACTCTTATCTAGAAAGTTACTTACATGAGATAAGATCGCCAGCTCGTGATGACAAGTGACGGCGTTCCTGTTGGCTTCCATGAAATATCGCTGTGTGCGCCTCCTCTCCCGTTCTAGCTTCTTTTCTAACGCAAGCTGGGAGGTGGATAAGCCATCTAAATACTTCATCATGACATCAGATATCATTGAGCTGACCTCTACCACATCCGGCCTCGCTTCTGCATCAGGAGTTAAGCATCTAAGAAAAGAGCAGTCAATTACAGGATGATTTGTGTTGATCACCTTCACCTCCCCTAGGGAGGCCCTCAGTTAATCACATCAGGTGTCTTCTGCCTCCACATTTTATACAGTACAGGTAAAAATGGGTTAAAATGAACACAACAAAATATAGTTTTGAAGGAGAAAAGCAGAGATAAATGGAAATGATAAAGCTTCAGGACTAGAAAGGCTGGATGAGGCAGATGGTCATAATGCTGAGGGTGAGGGATCTGCAAGGTGGGTGGTTACAAGAAGACTGGAAGCAGGTATAGCATTCTCAAGTTTCTGTAGCTCCAGCTGGTAAAACCAGGAAGGTCCTTTTCCCTCCCCCACTGGTGGCCTCCCTGGGTCCCCACCCCACAGACCATGACTTCTGTAGCATGAAGAGCAATATGCCCAAAGCCACTAAGCTGAGCTATTCTCTACATCTTAGGACAGATGCTGACAATCACAGCATATTCATACTTTCAAGTTATCTAATGGTGTAATTATCCTTCTTCTGACAAATCCATTATTGGTTGAGTTGCTAAGCTCAGATCTAATTTTTACTTCAATTACTGAATAACATCAAACACATCTGAATATCCCTAATACGTCCAAATCCCATGTTTTATATTTTGTAACAAGAACCCCTGTGCACCCACAGTTTTTCTCCTGGAATCAAGGCATTGAAACTGATTTAGCTAACGTAGGGCTCTCTTTAGCTGCACAAATCTAAACAAAATTCTAATTCATCAGTTTTGTAATTGTTCTGCCTTCTGGACCACCACAGATACTGTTTGATTTTTTAACTTTTTTTTTTAGAATTAAAAGGAGTTTTGGTTTTTCATAAGTACTTCAAGACAGCAACACATTAATGGGCCGATCAATGGAGATCTACTTATTTTTTTAACTCTTGAGACACATAGTTTGTTGGATTTAAGACCTTGAGTATATGAAGCAAGTATAGTTCTGGTTATAGAGGTATTAGTAGCTCTGGTTATAGAGGTATTAGTAGGGTTAGCCTGACTACCTCCTATTTCACAAAAGTTAAGTATGTGAACTTGTATATAGCTGAAGTATTGAAAGATTTTCTCTCAGTTTAGACAAATAAAGCAGTGTTAAATTTCACTTTCTAATTTAAAAGTTATCCAATTCTCACTTAAATGGTAAAGACAATTATAGCTGTCATGACTGCATGCTCGACCTGGTGCTGGGTAAAGAGATGCTGTGTCATCAAAAACGCCTCCTGTAAACTTTCTCTTTGTTTTGCATTAACTACAGTTTTCTAAATTCTGAAATCTTTGACAATACAAATTGGGCCAGAATGCTCCTGGCCAACATGTTGTCATCCAGGAAGCAGCTTTTTTTTTTTCTTAATTGAAAAAGCAATTGGAAGCTAGCATTACTATCATTATAGACAGAGATATAAGACACTTAAAGTGGAATTCTATTTAGGTCATATTCTCTATGGAGCCATGCTTTTAAGAGCCAATCTTAGAAACAATTCAAGTTTGATTGAATATGGTTTTTATCCTCAACTCACAGACTTGGAGATAGAATCTGCCTGCCTCTAATACTCAAAATTTCAGAACTTTAGACATGGACTGCCAGAAATATTTCTGCCAGGGGAACAAACTTAGCCCCATTTCTCTGAGGCAACTCCCTTCTCTGTCACTGTAAAGAAATATTCAAGATACTAGAATCCAGGAAAAAATACGAGTAATAATTGCAAGGATGAGAAGGACTCCAACCTGCAATGGTAAAATTAAGGTAAAATTCAGGACCTTCCTAGGTATCAAAATGCCCAGCAGGAACTCTGAAGAGGACACACAAGGACTGTTGACCCAACTAAGAAGGTTTAAGAAAGTAATATGAGATATGTATGGGTGAGGGTGAGTGAGGAGCAAGAAGAAAGATCTCCCCTTTCACTCCACTTTGCAATTTTGTTCTGGGAAGCCTCATATGAAGAATTTAGTTGGAATGATGGAAGTGTTATCCAGTTTTACCTATTATGTTTTTCAATAAATTAGTACTTTGATGCTTCACAGAATGGGCAAAATTTTTTTAAAAGTCCACACAATATGTGGCTTCTGTATTTTTCAAGATCTTCTTATCTTTAAAATGATTTGAAAGAATAATTTTGCTACCCATGAATGCTTCCCAAATAAAATTCCAACTAGCTTATGTAACCTAGAACAGACATGAAAGAATAAAATGATCTGAATATTTCGTGTTAGAAATGGAAATATTTTCCCATCTCCTTTTACATGAATTGGCAAAGTAAACAGACGGTAATATCGAACAATCTACAAAGGGGTAAAAATAGTGACCCAGGTGCCTGGCAGACTGGTGAGATTTATCTCCTTGTTCCCCCAGACTCTTTGAGGTTGCTAAGTTATTCTCCCACTCAGGGAAAAAAAAACTATTCAAAAAGAAGTGTCACAACAACAGAATATGAATGTGCATCCCATGTGCCAACAGGAGGGAAGGGAAAAAGCAGACCTGAGGAGGGCGAATTTGGGAAGCCATCGATGATGACAAGCCTGTGTAGACAGGGAGAGTGGGAAGATACCAGGGCAGACAAACTTGATCTGGAGAAATCCATAGTTTGGAACCAAAGAGAATTCTAGGAAGGATCATAAGGAAGTCTGCCAGGGAAATGGTATGTTGTGGGCCAGCCGTGCCAAATTCAAATAGAAACGGGGTCGCTCATCCATACGTAACAATCCCCGTGGGATGGGGATTGACTTAGTTTTCAGACCAATGTTTTGTCTGCTTTGATACATTTTTATTTGTTTTGTTAAATATTTCCCAATTACATTTCTAGCTAGTTTGGGCAGCACTGAGGAGTGCTGTAGGCCTCACGTCTGACCTCCCTGTCATAGGTTACCAAGGTTCAGAGTGTGAGAGCAATGTCATGGGAAAATTACCCACTCCTCTCTACACCCCCTCCTCATTCAAATGGTCAGATGGCTAACTATGAGAATAATGGAAATTATGAATGTATTTATGCACATAAACATACACATACATATATATATATACATGTATAGTATATGTGCATATATACATACATACACACATATTATATATACACATACATATACGTAGAAAGTCTTGACATCTCTGGAGAATCTATTATCTTTTTTGTTTTAAGGAAGACTGCCCCAAAAGAAAATAATTCAATTCAATAAATGTTTACTAAGTGCCTACTATGTGCAAGGCCAAAGAGATACCCAGACAAAGTGTTTTAAGAAAACAGGAAAGGGAGGGCCCCTTCAATTGGGGAATGGCTGAACAAATCATGCGATATCAATGTATTGGAATCCCCACGTACCATAAGGAACAGTGAAAAGAGCAGTTTCAGGGAAATATGGATACAATAAGAGTACTCCAAAAACATGCAGTTTTGAAAACCATCATAACTCTGACCAAGACAATAATAATAGTTAAAGTACGTATAGCGCTTACTACAGGCCTGGCACTCTGCTGAGCACTTGACAAATATTATCTCGTTTGACCCTCACAACAACCCTTGAACAGGAAGGGCTGTTATTTCCCCACTTTTAATGTAGCAAAAGCTAAAAACAAAATGGGTGCCCATCAAGTGGGCAACAGCTGAACAAAGCAAAGGGATCATCCGCATTCTGGCAGAGAGGTGATAGAGCGGAGGGGTCCAGATACGGCCCAGGTGCTGAACTGCTTTGCTCGATCACTCCCTTGTTTGTCCGTCTGTTATAATGGAAGACTTCTCTGAAGAATAAAGAGGAGAGGGAAGAATGCAGTGCCTGGTACACAGCAGGCACTTAATATTGACTGGATTAGTGGCTAGCGACCGAGATGGAACCAACAACGTTGATAAGACAATTAAAATGCACGTAGGAGAAAAGGAAAAGAAGGTTCAAAGGGGACAAACGCAAACCAGGCGATTGAGTGACCAGTGCGTTAAGCGAGATATGTACTGTTATTAAAAGCAAATGACACATAACAAAGTGTGGTTTCACATACAATCTTTTTTTGGTTCTTTTTTGTACACTGAAACACTGGTTTGTTGACGATTCTAAAGTTCATTTAAATAAAACATAATTTTAAGTAAAAAACTCAGATTGGCCAGATAATTGGGGATGAATTATAAGAACTATTTTCAATAAATTAGTAGCTGATAATATTCATCATTATGTGACATTAACAGTTCAAGTATACCTTGCTCACTTTTTCATCATTTACCAATCAATACAGAAGGCTGTTGGGGGTGAGTGGTCCCCTTATGCTCTCTCTTTGTAAAAATCCATGAAACTCCACAACCAAATTACCTGCTGATTATAATTGTTACTTTTTCAGAGTAGATCCCTTCTTGGACTGGTTCATATACTGCCTCTACTATCTGCAAAAGAAACAGAATAGGTTGAAGGGGGAATATATTCCATCTTCTCCAGGAAAACGTTATTGTTTTTCTTTGGTGGAACATTTAAGACAACATGAAAGAATTATGAAATTGAAGCAGTCAGGAACAATTAGCACCATAAAATTTGTTATGCTATGTTATGCTGTACTACATTATATTACATTAATCATACCAAATCATATCGTATTATATTATACTATATTACATTATATCATACCATACCCATATCATATCCTCTCAATAAATTACTATAGATTGACCAACACATTTGAAAATGTAGGTTTCAACTTATGATACAATTGATTTCATACCTATATTAAAATAGAACTTGAGATGAACTAAATCTCAGTATAATTTGCTAAATATAATTTGGGAGGATGAATTTTTAAATTTAAAATTGTAGGGAGATGTGGTACAGCTGTGGGTGATATGTGATTATTAGAAGAAAAGTTAAAGTACCTGTATTTATAATTGAATAAACCTCATCTCTTGACAATCTCTTAAAATCATACGTATTCCTTTTAGAGGGAAAGCGCTAGCCCTCCGAGAAACCCCAAGATGAGTTTGCTTTGTTAAATATGCTTACTTTTGTCGCTAAGGAGAGCATGTTGGTACTGTAGAAGGGAGGGTTCAGTGTCGCCATCTGATAAAGGATGCAGCCTGCAGCCCAGATATCAGCTTTCTCCCCATAGGGCTCACTCTTCAAAACCTCAGGGCTAAGTCAAAACAAGTAAGTCGATAAATACATAAGAAGGATAAAAGGATGCAAAATTGGACTGATTTTTCAGGATGTAAACATAGAATGAAGAGAGACATCCTTATAACTCTTTATTTTACAAGAAAACTAAGATACACATTCACTTAAAAATTATTCTAACCTAGAAGAACAATGTTTTAGCATTGGAAGGTACTATACAATGCTCATACTTTTATAAGGAAAAAAAACCTTTCCAATGTCTTATAATAGTATCATATGTAATAATGTGCCATGAACCAAACTTAGAGTTTAATTGTTAATAGAAAATAAGTAACAATTTGCAGAGAGCTTCATTATATCCACAGGCAGGTCTGCTGTGTCTCAGTTGCAAAAATGACAATCACCACATTAAAAGTTTGAAAGGTTTAGATCTTAATCTCTTCTAAAATATAAATAAAAATGTAATACTGTCTTTAGGGGGAAAAAAATCAGATCTATTTCAATTTACCAGCCATGCAAAAGGAAGAAGGCGAGAAGGAAGAAAAGGAGGCAGAGAGGGAAGAGGGAAGGGAAGAGGATAGGAAAAAAAAAAGGAAGAAAGGGAAGCACAAGAGGGAAGGGAGAAGAAAAGGAGAGGAAAAGCATAAGGAAGAAAGAAAGAGGGTGAGAGAAAAGCACAGGGAAATGGAAGAGAAAACAGAGAAGGAAAGAGACCAAGCGTCCCTGTCCTTACAAGCACAATGGTGAAGGCACAGAGTTAGACCACTCGTCCTAACTTCAGTAGGTACTGATGTATGACTAACTGCATCCCTCCCTCCCTACCCCGCAGACTACGAAGTTATGAGCACATGTGTGTTGACTGCAATAGTTGTTCAGTAACATTAGAAAAGGACATTTATAAAAGTGGAATGGGTCTAATGTTACAAATGGCAGATGGTTAGAAATTTAAATTTTGCATCTTTAGGCTAAATCCTTTCAAAAAGTAATGGTGAGCACAGTAAGGACGTGAAGACTTGAACACGATTACATTCTGTTATTGGTCATACCCTTCAGCTGACATATCCACAAGCATTAATTTAAAAGACAAAAAATAACACAAAACACTTCTCCAATTCAAAGCGTACAGAATAAGTCCATAAAGTTAATTCTGCCTCACTCAGGAGTGGCTATTTTGATTTCAATTACTTCCAAGTTCCCATTCTTGACCAATAAGGTCAAGTTTTCAAAGAGTAGCCAAACTGCTGAAAATGTGCACACTTTAAAAATCAGATGCATTCTGTTAATTGAGTATACTAATTATTATGTGGCAGAAGAATTCAACACACATATAATGATTATGGGTTGAATATCTGACTCCTGAGAAGAAGAAGCCTGATTTAAACCTCATTAAAAATATAAAAATGTTTTTGGAATCTCCTGACTTTTCCATCCATAGTGAAGAGACCAGATGCCTATAAACTGCCTGAAGAAACATCTCTAAGGGCTTAAATATGATAGAAGCAAGGACAGACACACAAGAGACTGCATAATGACATGTCTTGTTGGCTCCTGTATTTCCAAGGTTTGTATACCACTGGCTCCTCAGGGCAACTTCAGAAAAGATGTGCAAAGAGTGGAAAAAAACATGCATAGATAGGATCCTCACCTCAAATGCCGTTGGGCATAAAGTGAAGCAGGCAAAGCTTATTGTTGATACTCCACATTCCTCCAGACCAACCTCCCTGGACCTTTATCTCTGTTTCCTGAGCCCCTAAACCAGCGCCCAGATGAGCTCCAATCACATCATTTAAATTCCTAATAACTTACAGAGGCAGCATTTGGTGACTTCTCCATACATCATTCTTCTTTCCATTTTAGCTGTAACAATACCTCCAAATGTAGGGAAGATGTTGCCAATCTTTAAGTCAAACTTAAATGGACACACATTTCTCCAAATGCATTTACTTTTGGGTCTGTGCTATGGGACATATTATCTTACGGTCTTCTGAAGCATCTTGGGATAAGATTTTGAACATGCATAGTGCGTTATTTTTCTAGAGTTAAACTAAATAACCAAAAAGCCTTTATAGAGCAAGATTAAGGAAAGAAAGAAGCTTTAGTCAGTCAATTCTAAATTCTATTTAGCATCGACCAATAACCCCAGAATTATGTTATGGACTGTGAAAGAGAAAAGAGAAGGCTATACATAGATGCATATACTTGTATGTGTGTGTATTTGGACAAGGACAAACTACAGTTCATGGGCTGGGGACCAAATGCCAGATTTAAGGGCCTATTATGGCGTAAAGAAATTGATAAATCATTATCAAGACAATCAGGGTAGCTATCAATCTTTGTGGACTGGCAAGACTCAAGGAACAATAACAGCCCTGCTATTCTTTCAACAGATTTTCGATACTTCCAAGAATCTGACCTTGTCCATGAAGTTGGTCCATCCAGTGCATTTCATCAATGCAAACTGTGACCTCTCAACATTTTAAAAAGATGGTCTCCAGATTTTCTGATCATTTATCTGTGATCATCCACCTTTCGTATCTAATAATCACACTATCGTTATGTGATAGTTAGTGAGAACTCATTTTATCTGAGGTTGCAAAAATGAATGATTTTGTTCATTTCTGAATTTTAAGTAACAAAGATCATCGTGAATTGGTAACAAGTTTACAAAGAGTAAGGAAAAGGGAAAATGGCAAGGGGTTTTTAAAATTTCAAGGTTGATGCTTGTTGCCATCACTAACCTTAATTATTAAGTTCGATTTTATGATGCGATTTTTTCAGAGGTTCAGCTGGATTAGCAGATGATATGTCAATGTGTCCATGGACCTGTGTTCTCATCACTCCTCCCTCCACCAAAGCAGATTACAACCTACCTGCATCTTCTTCTTCCCTACCACTGTCATCCACATCTTCCTCTCAGTTCTCAGCTAGGGATCTATGCAATGTACTGAAATATCCCCCCCTTGTTGCCTACTCTGCTGTATGCTATGATCTGGGCAATGTGCATTCTTCATTTAGTTTACTTTTGGTATGTGAATGACTCAGGCAATCTCTTCTGATGGACAGAGCCTCTCACAACAAAGACCTTCTGATGCGCCAGAGATCAATGCAATTGGCACAATGAAACTTCACAATGGGAACATTTACACAGCCTGTCTATGGGGGATCTTCCACCTATTTGGTCTTGCACAGGAACATGCTTCTAAAAGGGTTTGCTAAGCGTAGCAGAAGCTCTCTGACAGACACTAATGAGCTAGAAGGAATTTAAGACTACTCTCTACCTGCTGTGTGAGCAACCACCTAGCTAATACAAAAAGACCCAGATTATATCATTACCACATGATACCACTGTGTCTGCTTCCCCTGCCCATAGACCATTAAAAGCAGGGCAAATCAAACTGAAATAATCAGATGGAAATGTCAATAGTTTGAAAAAAATCATTTGGGGCAGGGTACATGCAGATAACAGAGGAAATCATGATTTTTACAGGGAACGCACACACAGTACGTGTACAGACACAAAAACATTGGCATGCCTCCAGACATAAGGTAAATGATACCCTACCGAAGAAACTGCTATCTAATGTTGTTTTAAAAAACAGATCTGTTCCTTGAACTTAAAACCATGCCCCTTAGAGCTCATTTGTCCAAAGAGAAATTTCTTTCCAGATCTGGCTATCCTAAAGATGCCACTTTCTTCAGAATTAAAGACATTACTAAATGCATTCATAAATTCTGCTAACAAAGATCTATTCTACACTATCACTTTTTAAAAAAATATAATTTCTTGAGGCCTTTTGTTGGCAAGTAAGATATAAACCATTCATATTCTGTGGATGCCCTCAAAAGCAAAGACAATATGGAATTAGACGGACAATCCATGGTGAAAGTTGGTGACTTTGTTTTTTTCTATTTCTTTCTTCTTTCTGGAGATATCACCAGATGCAAATTGGTGGGGTTCTAGAATAGGAAATTTGAAAAGGAAATGACTTAGAAACCATTTCTGAATCTGTGGTAACAATGGTGGATCAGTGCTGGGGAGGGGAAGGGATATGGATTCTCCAGATTTGCTCAAAAGGTGGCAGAAAAAAGTGATTCAGTGAAAGAAAAAAAAATGGAATTCCTGCAGGAAAGAACTCAAGGGCCACTTGAACTGGCAGCATCAGTGTGGCAGCCTCAAGCACAAGTTCTTTTACTAAATGGTCAGTAAAACCTATTTTCTGTAAGAAATGTCCCATTTATTCAGCAATGTTGACATTTTGCATCTAGTTCAAACACACACACAAAAATCTAAAACTAAAAGTTAACTGCATTCTTCCAATCCCAATTATGTTAAATTTCATTCAAATTAAATTCAGACCTTGAAAAAAGGTCTAACTCCATCCTGATTTTACCACAATTAATTACAAAATGCTATACTCTCTTAATCTCAGAGGAAACTCATGCAAAAAAAGGAGCAGTACTTGAAGACACTGTTTACTTCTGCTTTGACTTAATTCCCAGTCAGGAATCTTTTCTTTTTCTCATCTCTATGACCCCTACCTTCCCACTCTAGGGGAAAATGAAAATGGAGAAGAAGAAACAAGCAGTAAAACAGTTGCCAGAAGTCAAAATGTTTCTGGCATCAGGCTTCAAATCCCCTAGTGGTATAACAGCTTTACATAATTACAAATAAAAACAATGAGTGAGAAAAGGAGTTATAGAACTAGCAGTGGGAGAGAAGAGATTCTGTGAACCTCTTTGTCAGTCCATTTCTGGCTTTCCAAAAGAACACATCATAAGTCTTTGGAGGATATAACTGAGATAAGTGTTTCAAATCCCTACTACAGATGAAAACTTACATCAACTGCTTTTCGTTTGGAAGGCCATTATGAAGACTATCACTGCTTTGAAACAATTTTAAATTTCCCTCATTGGATTGTCTAAGCTCCATCTTGGAAAATAAATGCAAGAAGGTCCATCAAGTTAGTATAATGCATTTGGAAGGGTTTCTCATCTATGTGAAGACTACTAAAAATAAAT